AAATACTGGTTCTCAGAGAATGATAAAACATACAGAAACACCTCCGAGGAGAATCTATCAATAATTGATCATCCTGATCAGAATCTCTTTACTGTGTCTATGAGAAACCTGGAGAATGAAGACACTGGACCTTATAGTTGTGTTGTGGACACTGAAGGAAATCTGGCCAGCATATATGAGGTTTATCTCAATGTTCAATCTGGTAAGAGATTTTGTATTTATTTTAATCACATTCTAATGTTAAATATGTGTTTTATCATCTCAAATGACTGGGGTGTGTGTGTTCAGCTCTTGGTGTGTCTGTGGTGAGCAGCAGTGTATCTGGACATGAAGGTGGTGATATCAGTGTTAAGTGTCTCTACAGTTCTGAATATCAGAATGACGTCAAACGTTGGTGCAGATATAAAGATCAGAGCTGTTACACAGTGGGGAGGACTGACACATCCCAGAATTCATCAGTCCAGATCAGTGATGATGATGATGGGAGGAGATCCTTCACTGTGCTGATGACTGGACTGAGACTGACTGATTCTGGCTGGTACTTCTGCTTTGCTGGACAGGCAGTGAGTTCTGTTCATCTGACTGTAACTGAGGCAGAACCAGTCAAAGAGAAAGACACGTCAGTATTCAAACATTTCTCATTGACATTTCTCAGAATCATCTTCGTGGAATGGATCTGTATTTGTCTGCATTTTGTTGTCATGCACTATTTCCTCAATTTCTTTTTCCTTTTACTCTAACAATTATTACTTCATTGCCTACATGATTTTTTTTTCTGTTTTTTTATTTGTGCTAATCTTTGCAGAAGTGCAACAGGACATCACAAGTATAATAATAATACAAATGAAGTCATTGACAAACCACAAAAGTACTACATCTGTATGATATTTCTTATTTTCTGGTGCCATTTATTTATTTATTTTTTATTTAGTCATTTATTAGACGCTTTTATCCAAAGCGACTTACAAATGAGGACAACAGAAGCAATCAATTGTAGTATTAAAACAACTAAAAACAGATCCAAAACTAAAAGCTAAAACTTTATAAATACTACCTATACACATTTAAAATATATAATATACAAATGCATACAACAAAATTTCAAAACTTAACATATAAATGAAAAACAAAAAATAAAGCTAAAAACAATTAAAAATATTAAAGAATAAAAGGTATGAGTATAATAATGATTCTAACATAACACTAAGCCAAACACCAAAAAACAACTACATATATGTGTATGTACAACCACACGCACATACATATATACTGTATATGTACATACACATTTATAAATTCAATATATATATTATTTAATTTCCATTTAGTTTGTTGATGTATTAAAATAACTCAAATTAAATAAAACTAAAAACTTAATAAAAGACCTATACAGACATAATAAATTCAGACATAATGTAACTAAAATAAAATAAATAACAAATACAAATAATACAAATCAAATGACAGTAGTTTATCAGTAATCCTAAAAAATAACACTGCCAAACACACATGCTGTATGTGTTAATTTATGCAGCCGATTTCATTAACCTTTCATTAATCCCACATCATTTTAAAAAACTCTTTGAAAAGATTTTAAAATGTTTCTTTTTTTCTCACAGAGATAATGAACCCCTGAATGTGTGGCTTCCAGTTTCAGCTGCGCTTCTGCTGTTATTGGTTCTGATCGTTTTTTTCATCTGGAGATTGAGACGGCGACCCAGTCAGTTTGACCTCTTTTTTTTGGTCTTTTTTTTGTTTAATAATTCATTTAATTCAATTCCATTTTATAATATATTTCAAAAGCACAATTTCTGTATATAGTATATAGATTGTTAATGTAATGTTATTGTTTCTTTTCTTTTTTTTTAATGAAGAGCAAGACCAACACCAAATCAGAGAGAGAAACAGCAGCACAACCATTGACAGAGTAAGTCAGTTAGTTTATGAGAAACTACTTATGAAAATGTTTGTTTGACAACATCAGTGTTCAGTTTGGCTAATTTTTTGAAACCATATTTAACATTCTCTAAATTCAACATTACTTCAACGTTA